CCCCCCCCCCCCCCTAAAATTGCATGGAAGGTCTAATATTAATTCGTCATAAACCGAGATCTATTTTGTATAATTGTGAGACTATTATAATATGAGTTTCACGGGAACAGGTATGCAAGGCTATCCCTTAGAAGCGGGTGAGCCTCGAGGTATACCTTTGAATACCCAGTTACTCCCCGAACACTTGAAGAACCTTGGATATTCAACACGACTCGTCGGTAAATGGCATGTCGGCTATCAAAGTGACGGGTTCACCCCAGCGAAACGCGGATTCGATACGTTTTTTGGATTCTACAATGGCTTTATTGGTTACTACGATCATAATTATACATCAAAGTCTGTAAGTTTCTGGACACACTTGTCTTTTAGTCTTAATACGTCCACTGTTGTTGTCAATTAGGAATCTCGGATGCGAAAAGACGTTACTTATATGATAAATTCGGTCACACTTTCTCCTGCTATTGTCGAGTGGAAATTTGGTTCATGTTGTCTGGGTCTAAATCAGTTTTAGATCCAATACTGGTCCGGATTTTCTGATCAGAACTCCAACTTACCTGCTCGCACTAGCACCCACTACACCCGGTAGAGCGCGTCATTCAGTGCTAGAGTTCTCAATACCGAATGTAAATAATTTAGAGGTAGTGGAGGGGGAAGTTCTGTCGTGTATAGATACGCGGTGCGCTCGGCCTGATGTTTTGCTCAGTCGGTCAAAACTTTTCTTGGCCGATACGCTGCCGCGTATCTCGATCTGGATCCGGCATGACTCAGTCACTTCTGATCCTATCCTGATCAGTCCACGCTGGTGAAATTTGACTTAACATCACTGGTACAGTTCGGATCCGAAACATCTGACTTCAACCCTGATAGGGTGAGGTAGGAAATTTTTGATCATTTGAGGATCCAACCTATCGGATCTGAGCCTTTTTGAAATTCTGAACTCTTCCTACTCTGGTTTGAAGTCAGAGTACCTTCAACGACTGCACATATCCCAAATTTCGAATAGTCAGTGACGGAATCCTTCCTTTCGGGGTTCTCACTGGACTATACAGAGTACATTCTTCGCAGTTTCACAGTGATAGTGAAGGAATTCACATGTCAGTGTTGTTACGATCCTCGGTGAATAAAGAGTGCATGAATCATGGATGACAAAGTAGAACTAAATTAGCACAGGTTACCAAGGGGGTGACGATGAGATTGTAGATTTTGGCAAATTTCTAAATTTTCTAGATTGGAAGGCTTTCTAACAAAATCTTGAAAGCTTTATACCATTTATTTTTATTTTGTTAGTTAGTATTAACTTTAATACAACCACGCAGAACCCCAAGGCCCAATGTATGTAGAGATCACGAAACCTTTCTGAAATTTATTTTTCAAGTTTAATTTTCCAACCTCTATCATGAGTTCTATCGAAATTCGTTCAACGTCGATTACTGCTGTTATTTACTATTCAATTTCATTATTCATAATTTCTTGTTAACAGTTAAAATTCAAAAACTAATTGTTTCATCGGAGAGACGCATGGCCAAATAAAAATTCCGCTTCAAAATAATTCCAAGTTTTGTTGTAATTGCATACTAGCTAAATTATGAATGATGAGGGCTGATCCTGAAAAATTGATCAGATACTGATAAGCAGGATTCGATCCTGACATGTGGATCGAGCTTGGATCAGGTACTGCCCAGACGGATTCGATCGTATACTGGTCAGGATTTTTGATCCAGTACTGAACAAATAAACCGGACCTTGACATTCAGATACTATACATTCAGATCAGTTGTTACTGATCAGTTCCTTATTCCCGGCTGAAACTAACTTTTTTTTTTAGAAAAGATGACAAGAATTGGTCATATTCCCGTCTTTCTCATGACGTTCATTGACGTATCACATGAGAGCTCGGTGATATGTCATGTCATTTGTTCATATCTCTGTCAGGGATTAACACACCCATAATCGTAGGGGATAACTGGGCACGATTTCCATCGTGATAATTCCACGGGACTGAATCCAGATTGGACTGGAGAGAGTACATATGCTACCGATCTCTTTACGGATGAAGCAGTGAAGATTATTGAGGAGCACGATAGCCAACGGCCTCTGTATCTTCAGCTGTCTCACCTTGCTCCCCATACGAGTGATGTTGGGGATCCATCGCTTGAAGTAAGAAATTTCAGTGCACTGAAGCAAACGTTTCATTACATAGCGAAAGTGGAACGTATCACATATGCAGGTAATAGATTCAGAGCAGCAATTTTCAGAATGAAACAGACAACTTATTGATACGTATACCACTTTATATTATCGGCTAACGGAGCGATTTTTTCCATTTTTTTCCACAAAATAGAGGAATTTTTCATAACTTTTACGAGAATCTCAGAGTTTTTGATAGTTTTTCAGAGAATATTCTCGATTTTGGTTTTATTTCCTGTTTTAAAAATATTTAGAAAGTAGTGAAATTTGTCCAGAATTATCTAGAAAACACCAAGAATTGTTTTCAATTTTTGGAGGAATCTGCCATTTTTTTTTCAACATTCTCATTTTTTCTTCATTTTTTAGAAAATTCTGAAAATTTCCAAAAAGTTTTAAAACTTTTTATAATGCATCCTTTTGTATATAGTTTAGCGCAATAATTGACTGTTATAAGTCCCTACGAAGATCCTAAACTAATTAATAGTATGAAGCTCACGACAATCCCTTCAATAGTTTCTTTTTGAAAAGTAGATTATTAAAGATGGAGTCAGGATAAATCGAGTCAATGACTTTCAGTATTCATTAAAAACTGTCATGGAAAATGACCGTTCCGTAGCGTGAAAAATAAAACAGATTCCGATAATTTTCGTTTACATTCGTCTTCGTCCCTAAAATCAGAAGATTTACAACCTGAGATTTTCAATTAAAAAAAAAACTAAGTACAAAAACTAATGGAATCTGTTTTGTTTAATTTGGATAGGTTCCATGGCTCCTTCAGTGATTCTGTACGAAAAATAAAGCAAGCTCTCATTTCCAGGAATGGTAACTGCTCTGGACGAATCCGTGGGTCGGGTTATGGAAGCTCTCAGCAAAAAAAATATCCTGAAAAATTCAATCGTCATCTTCATGGCCGACAATGGGGCTCCTACGTTTGGAGAATATGCGAATCGAGGATCTAATTATCCTCTCCGAGGGGTGAGCGATTGGCCAGATGGCAAGAAGAAAATGAGCTGCCACGATCAACAAGATTACAGAATACGTAAACTTCTGCTTTCAGTTGAAATCCTCATTCTATGAAGGCGCAGTACACGGAGTTGCATGTGTATACTCACCATTGATACGAAATCCGGGAAGAATTGTTGACGACCTTGTTCATATGACAGATTGGCTACCAACACTGTACAGCGCAGCTGGCGGTAATGACAAGGACCTCGGTATCATCGATGGTGTCAATCAGTGGCCGACAATTGAACGAGGAGAATCTGGTCGTAGGAAATCACTGCTAGTCAATATCGATGAAACAGTGAATCGTGAAGCTGCCATTATTGGCCGATACAAACTTTTAAAAAAAGGTAATCCTCATCAAACGGCTTTGCAAATCAATGAAACAACCTATGATGTGGGAGGATTTCGTCCTCCCTTAATCAAATCGCCTTTCGACCTTAAAATAACGGTCATTCAAGGTGCCATGCCATATTATGATGGTTATTATGGTGACAATGTTGATGATGGAGACTCTTCAGCACCTTCGTACAACTTGGATGCAGTAATGGCTTCACCAAGCAGTCAAGCTATCCTCGAGACGACAGGGGCCATCGTAGATCCTTCCAGTATTCTAGATCTTCGGGCACAGGAGAAAATCGACTGCAAGCCTCCCGCGGAATTCGCCAACTGCTCTGGAACATGTCTGTTCGATCTTGAGATTGACCCCTGTGAGACGACTGACGTATCCAGCCAATATCCAGATGTGAGTAGTGATACTTCGAGAGACGAAAGAATCGAGGGAGAAGCATTACAAGACGAGACGAGACAGTGTTTCGAGATAGAAATGAGCAGACAAGACGAGACAAAAAAAGGTGGTCGAGAGAACGAGAGAAACTAGATGCTTAATGTTTTTGACCCTTATTTTTCCTGACTGTTATTTTTTCCATGTGGGATGAGACGAGATAAGATGAGTCGAGACGAGACAATCTTTCGATTATTGACGAGACGAGAAAAGAAATATCATTCGTATGTTGAGACGAGATAAGATGAGTCGAGACGAGACAAGAAAATGCCCTTCCTCGTCTCGTCTCACCTGGTGGTGTCATTAGACGTGAGCTGTCACTATCAGATAATTTTGTAACAAGATAACTTTTTCCCCCGTGACAATTCTGGTTCCAGGTGGTAGAGATGTTGGAGAATTTTATAGATGGTTATCGAAATGTCCTGATGAATCAGACGAATACCCCGGTTGACCCAAAATCAGATCCTATGTATCACGGTGGCGTCTGGATGCCTTGGCTCAACATATAAGTGGTACTATTGAGATAAGTTTGAAAGAGGAGTTATAGGGTTCTAGAGGAAATCCAACAAATCAATCACTTTTGTTGTAGAAATCGTTGTGAAATCAATTGATTGATTCACCTGTGGGAAAAAATATGGGATCATCAACTACTGTAACATCACAATTATCGTTTCAACTGTTTGTCACTGCAATTGAAGGATGGTTCTAAATGAAGGATTCTGTTATGAATAGTGCCTACTATTCATTTTATAAGTATTCACAAAATTTAAGAGTTTTGTCGCTTTACAAAAAATTTGCGAAATATAGGACCAATTTTATCGTTTAGATTGACCATTTCTTGTATCCCTTACGAAGTCTAATATTTCTCAATCTGATAGTTGCCGTTTCACTATTCAATGTTGGAATACTCCAGCGTTGGCGTCAAGTGAAAATCTAGGAATTTTAATCGCGTCTTAAAGCTCCAATTTTTTTTCTCAAATTGTGGTAATTGTTTATATGCTCAAATATTTAGAAATTGAAGGAAACACTTGTTTCTTCAATAACTACCCTTTCTTCCAATGGAAATATGTCACACGTCATGAAGCATCCCGAGTCGAAATTTTACCGGGTTTCCCAACGTAGTTTCAAGGTCCACTGGTGGGTTTAGGACGTTGAAAGTACGTTGTCCAGGGTACAGGCTCAAATGCACCGATTTAACCTAATTTCCACGTAAATACCGTCTCTTTTTTCCATTTTTTCCAGATTGTACGTTGAAATTAGGTTGAAACTAAACATATCCCCAACGTTCCTCCACCGTACATTCTTTCCTTCCTTCCTCCCCCCTACCCTCTTCACCCTACCAGTTCCATTCTAACATCGATTAATTGATTAAATCTTGCATAAATTAATCGGTGGAATAATGGCAGAAATATAAATATTATTAACTCGGTGAAACAAAAATGGGAAAAAAAGAAAAAAACAGATCGGTCCGTTGGTTCTCGAGATATCCCTGCTAAATTCCAACTGCTCCATAATTATCATTAATACAACTCCTCCTCCACTGACAAAACATTGGTTTTTGACAATTATTGACCAGATTTTTATTTTTGATGCGTTTGGAGTACCGCAAGATTCCTAACAATCTCGCGGAATAAGGTGATTGCACTTTAGTTAATTTCTTGGTGGTAATTCTGGATAAATATTAACCATAATTGGTTGCGTAAAAAAATGACGCCCTTATGAGGAGAACATTGAGTTCTCAAAACGTTGGCGATTAGAAAAATAAGAGTTTTTCTTGTTTTTTCACCTTTACTATATTAATATTGCTGATATTGACCGCATAATGGTAGAGAAGGAGATGTATTAAAGATATCCAAGTACTTTGGCTATTTTTTCTCCAGTGAAATGCGTCTTCATTTTTGTAGTTGAACATCGGAGCTCTCATTTAAGCCCCATTTAATCCTGGGTCGAAGTTCCTCGACATTTTACATTGATTTTACTATTTAACCTTTGTAGGTTTGGATTTGAATCTCGATATTGAACCGTTAGAAAACATTTTAAAAATCTGAAAAAAAATTACAACCTCAACGTTTGGAGGATGATTGATGAAATAATTAGAAAATTTCAATTTTCGAAAATTCCGAGCATTTTCTATAAATAATTTATAAACAATAATTTATAAACAAAAAAGTAAGGTTTCTGAAAGTTTAAAAAACTTTAATTATTTATTTATAAACAACGAATGTTCTAAAAAATTATAATCCTGTGCAAAGTGTAATTTGAATGGCGCTGAATACTCATGATTTTTTTCAAATTTTTCTCACGCAATTTAATTGGCAATGATTGAAAGTGGTTGAATCTATTGTAGTCTGTACCAAACTGTAGAAGATACTTGGATATCCTTAAACGTAATTTATGTTCAGGGCGTTCTGCGTGAAGTTTTCTAAGAATTACTTCCCTCACAATATAAGATATAGATACTACAGAAATGTACGAATAGAAATAGATAGTTCCGACAAAATCTGCCAGAAATGTCTCATTTAACTTTCAGTCATCAAAATAATCAACACTAAATCTTTGTTTCTAATTCTCCGTAGATCTCGAGTTTTTTCTATCTTCTCAGTAGCACCAGGTAGCTAAATTTTGATCTACGAACGAGAGAAAAATTATTTCGCTGATAATAGGCGATCATCAAACCGAGATTTTGTGCTTTGCCCAGGTAATCGGTGATATCCTAGAGCTATTCACAAACAGTTTCATATAATCACAGTAGTACTACACAGATGTATCGCCTCCCCCTCCTCTCCCCCACCCGCAGCCCGCCAATGTGAGATTATTGCTATATATAAGTATTTCGACACGAAGGTCCCGCATTCCCGCGAAATCGTAGTTTTTGATGGGCTGAAGAGATGATGAAGAAGAGGCAAGGATAGCTGGAGGACATTCCCATGAGTCGGGGGCGGCCACCAGAGGATTTCGCGCTCGCCACTATCCCATGGGCCCCCTCCACCCTCTCCTGGTGAAATCCCTGCCAGTCCCCTTGGGCTGTTCACCGGTCAATATATTCCCCCCCCCCCCCCCNTCAAGAAACTCTACCAATGGATGGTGCGTGCAGATATATGAATCTCCGATGCTTCAGAGGCGTTATTACTCAGAAAGAACACCCCTTAATCACTGAGGAAGGAAAAAGCCTCCACTACTGAGTTCTAACTACTTCAAATCCAATGGGTTTTATCTTAAACGCAGTGAAAAAAATAAATCTCAAAAAATTAATGAAAAAACAATTTCTCACAGTTTAACTCAAATTCCTCAAACAGGGATACAATCAAGAACGAAGTATCCCATTACCAAAATTATGACGAAAACGTTATGAATAATGATTCTCTGTATCAATTGAATTGCTAGATAACCGGTGTCTGTATTTCCACATGGAATATAGTTTATGACACCCGAGAAATTAACTCGGTGTCACCAATGCGTCTAGCATTCTCTGAATTTTGCTATCAGGAGAACAGAAGCGCCAAGAGATTGCCGCATACCAGCTACACACACCAACCGACCCCCTCTATTCTCACAACATGAATCCGATCGGTAAAGTAGGGAACTATAACGCGACGGGTAGTGGCCACACGTTCGACAAACCCTCGACATTTGCCAGTGACACGTTTTTAAATAAAAAAAAAATCACAACAGTTCCTTGTGTTATATGTGAACGTATGTCCAGAGAGGCATGTGGAAAGATAGACCCGGATTATCATGCACGTGCATGTTGACAAAAGAAGTTTAGCTTGTAAAGCTGATTAAACCTTAGTTAATCACAACCGATCAGGAGAGTATAGATACGCGGAAAGTCGCGGGCTTCTGGTGGTGAGTGAGGGTTCAGCTCTGTGGACGCATGTGCTCCTGGTAGTACAGTGTACTAGCGGGCGGTCCCGCGCGGCAAACCTGACCCTAAAGGCTCTTGTAACGGTATGATTCTCTGATTCACACGACATAGCAACTGAATTCAGTGCTGCAGTCCGTGAATTCCTAAGATTCTACCATCATACCTAACGGGTGGTAGAGGTTACTCTCGCTGTCTGCCTAATGTTCGGGTGGTTTTTGGGGCGGATAGCGAGAGAAAGAACTGGCGGGGGGAGCTGTCAATGTATTACGAATTACTCGTTTTGCACGTTTTTTCGGAGAGGGGGGGGAGGGGATTTCGGCACGATCTCTCACCGGAGGTCGCCGAATATTTCGCGGTGGTGGAGGGGTGGGAGGCATTGTTCGGGAGGAAGTAGCGAGGTTAATCGCAGGGATAAAGAGATTCACTCTGCGAGTTTGCGGCAGTTCTGGGTTATTTAAGGATAATCGGGCGAGCCCGCAGGGTTGGAAAAAAAGCAGCCATTTTTTTCTTCTCTTTTTACGTATTCTTCAAATGATGGAAAAGGCGTGTGCAAAGTTTCAGACTGCTGGAGAGCATGGTTAATTTATTATGAATTTTTGAAAAAGTGGTCATTTAACCCGTGATCTTATGGAAATCACAAAAAAAACTGCAAAACCCAAGGAAAAAATGCAGCCAAAGTCATGAAACTTTAGACACATTTAGAACATGTGATCAATGATTTTTTGAGTGAAAACGATTGTCGCCTAGGAGCACTGTTTATTAATAATAGCGATAAAAGGACTGAAAAATGAAATTTCTGCGCACGCAGCCCAAACGAGCAGTAACGTCCCAAGTACCGATCGGGTGAGGGTAGCGCGGTCAATTTAAACGTCTCTTGAGACAGAGCGATGAAGCGTCGTAATTGGAGCTCCCTCGAGTGAGAGTGACCTCCTGGTGAAAAAAAAACTACCGACGATCTTGCCACTTTTTCGCATGGATTAATATTTTTGCATTTATTAACTAGGGGGTTTCGCCCCTGCTCGCTCCGCTCGCCAACCCCGGTAGGGGCTTCGCCCCCCCCCCCCCCCCCCCCCC